GCATGTTCTCAGATATCTTAGAAGTTCTAAATAAACCTGGATCAGTGCGAGTCAAAATCAATAGCATGTATTTTCCTTCAAACCTGATCACTGGGTAATTTGTTGCACTTTTCATCAAAAGGAAATCACAAAATCTTTCCTAACCTCATTCTGAATGTGAAACTTCTACCCTTGTCCACAGGAAGTGGGATCTGGTTTGCCAAAGGAATTCAGAATCCAACCTTGCTTGGCTTCTGCCCTCTAGCAAGGATCTGTGAGCAGGTTATACTGTCACAGATAGCATGAGGATGGTGCACACAGATAGCATCAGAGTATACATATGCCCCCTTGCTTGCAAATCCCACAGATGATTCCTGTGGGGATCCTGAGAGACTAAGAACTTTTCCATGCCCCCTGTCCTTATCCTATAACCAACCTTGTATCATGATGAAATACAACCTGCACCCACATACATTCAAAACCTCCCCTCATCACCCAATTCTGCTAGCTCAACCTCGGCTTACTCAGTTCCACCCTACAGCTCAGTTCCTGACAGCTCTTTAATACTTTAGCTCATTCCCTCTTAAGGTCTTTACACAGTCGTTTCCTTCTGAGGACAATCTTACCCTCCACTTTAATATCCAGTTCCTTCTTACCTTTCTGAGTCGGTTGAAATGACGCTTCTCATAGTGGTCTTCCTTGATTCTCAGTAGCTCTCTTCTGCGGCCTTCCCATTTTTCCCCAAGTACTTACCCTGGGTTCCTATTATAAATGTATTTATAAATATCCTTGTGGTTTGTATTATTTAATTCTGGACTAATCTATTAATCCATTAGAGACAAGAACAAGAGTAACATCCTGTTCTTGATCCCAGAAAAATATTCACACACACACTTATATATATATATGTATATGTATATATATATGTATATATATGTATATATATACACTCACACTCACACACACACACACACACACACACACACACACACACACACATGAATGGATAAATGAATGTTTAGACCTGAACTACCTCCAAAGGCCCCAACAAACCATCTTTACTGGAGCTTCACCTATGGAACTAGGAGCCCAGCCTGAAGTCAGATTCTGTTACTAGAGAGACAAATTTAATGCTCTTGACCTCAGATAGGTTATAGAACACTGGATTAGATTACTCCTGAAGTCTCATGTGCCTCTCATAACCAGGGTCTACAATAAGAGGGTCCATACCCTGGGAAATAGTTTATCACTGCATATAGTGGAAGCCAAAACTCAAAGTGTCTTTAAGTACCATTGAGGTCTGTCTCTAGCATTTCTCCTTCTAGGTCTGGGTTTGAGCATTGCAGACTACAAGACTCGAGCTCTATTTGCTTCTGGATTCTCTATCCTTTGAGCACAGTCCATGTCTGAATGGACATTCATTGTATGGATAAAGTGTACTCCAGCCAGTAGGACTGATGGATGAGTAACAGGAATGTCTTGTGCCTTTAAAAACAGAAGTAGAAAACACAGCACCTCTTTGACTACACCTGGCTGAAAGAACCATGGAAATACATACTTCATTATGGATTGCTATGGGCTTAATTAAATATCCAGATATTCCACTACTTTGGCAAAACAGGACAATAAACACACACACACACACACACACACACACACACACACACACCTTCCAAAATCAGAGATTGTATCAGAGCCATAAACGAAGAGATTTGTCAGAGAGTCCTGATATCATGAGAAATATGCTAATTAAAGAGTGATTAGACTTGCAGTTTCCTTGCATAATCACAGGATGTTCGAAGTTTGGAACATCTAATAGAAGTGGATTGCAACAAAGCCCAAGAGTTATATAATTGTACTGCCGACATGCAGAACCTGTTCTCTCTCTGAATCTAATTTACTTACATATAGAATGACTGTCCACTGATCAGTTGTGCTTACAGTGTGTATAAGCACCATCACAAACTATGTAAGAGCCCTTCCCCTTATGTGCGGTTTAATCAAGAGGCAAACAGCAAACATGGTGACTAGTTCATGAAGAGGTCAGTGGGAAATAAAGGCAAGGGGTCACATTCAGCTTCCTTCGAGAACTTATGGTTCATGAAAGGGCTTCTGCAGACCCATCCTAAGCTGGATTTTGCAGGGTAACTAACAAAAACAGTGCCTGTCAAGAAGGAAGAAGAAAAGGTGTGCACATCATCTTGGAGTGATGATAAGACAAGAAAAGGAAGGAAGGAGGGAGGGGGTGTGTGAGACCAAGGGAAGGAGGGGGAAGAGAGAGGGCAGGGAGGAAGGGAAAACTAAGGGTGGGTGGGAAAGATCAGGAAAAGAGAGCATACTGCACAGACAAACATTCACCAGAGGCTCTCAGGCTGCTGGTCTGGTGACAACAGCTTTTAAAGCACCTACACTCTGACTTTAAAGCACACACACCAGGACCAATCATTTTCCTCATTGTAGTCATGTTTTGTGGAACAAACAGGTTGCACTCCTCTTTGCCTAACCCTTTTCACACATACACCATTGGTCCAGGAGTCTTGTCCTCCCTGGGATGATTTGCATGCCCGTCTAGATGGTGAACTCTGAAGGGCAGAGGTTAGGTCTGTTTCTGGTTTTGGACTCTGGTCTGACATAATAGCAGGCTTAATAATTGCCTGACAAATTAGTAAATAAGCAGAAGTTCATCCTGGAAAAAAAAGTAACAGGACTTCTTAGAAGCAAAAATGAATACCCCAAAACACTGACGAAGGGTTAATTCATTGCTAGGGACATGGCATGTATGCCACACATGGGAAAGAAAAATCCCTCCAATGCCAAAGTCTCCTCTGAGCCCCAGATTGAGTACCATGCTGACAGCCCACACCTTACTTTATGGTGCCCATTGCCCATTGTCATTGGTTACTGAGTAGTCAGTTCATGGTGGCAAGAATGCAGCTCACTTCCTTCAGATGCTGGTCTTATTGCCTCCTAACTCTGTGACATTGGGCAAGTCACCTACACTCTGAAATGATCAGGCTTTTTTTTTCCAAAATGAAAATGAAAGATTTTCCACAGGCTTGTTCAAAGATCTAAATGAAATAATAAGTTTAAATGGTGGGTAAAGGAAAGGGCAGAGAGGCGGGTGTAGTTCAGATGTGTTTATCCAGCTCCTTTGTCAGTAAAGAGGAGCACATGGATTGTGGAGCAACCCAGCCGTGTGAATGGAATGGGAAGGTTGGGAATCGATTTTCTATAAATGGAGATTGAAGGAGTGAATGTTGAAGATGTGACTGGAGTTAAAGACAAGAACCAATCCCACAAAACTATATTGGCTGGGCTAGGAGGCCTGGACTTTCCCCTGAGGACTAGGGAAAAGACTCCAACAGCACAGAGACCAGCTGGCATGGAGGGAACAGGCAGACATCCCAGGGACCTGCCATGTCAATCAAATGAATGATGCAGGACCTTGCCAATGAGAGCCAAGATTGAGGAGAGGAACCACTGGAAGAAAAGTTTTACCCATTCTGAATCTAGTCAAGCTATTTGATGTTCTGAAGTTTTAATTTCTTAGGTTGCCCTTCCTCCAACACCACCTTCTCAGTACCTCTGCCCTTAGAGGTATGAGGTCCACATTATGAAAGTGGACCTCATGTTCTGGCCATACACCCCAAAGAATCCACCAAGGCCAGTTAGTCCTTAGAGACTGGGAAGTTGAAGATCTTTTATAGGACACCTACTCCGTACATCAGAAAGGGATGGTGGCTGGCCAGGTACTGGGTGGGTAGTAAGTATAATAGATACACTGTTGTTTATCCACAACCACCATTGTTTCTTCTAGTACAAGCAAGAAGAGAGCTTTCCCAAAATGAGATATGACCTCCCAATGACTGGGAATCCTTACTAATCCTCTTCACACATAGAAATGTCAGTGTTCTCATGGTCACACTTCAGGAACCCTGAAGTAGTCACACTGTGCTATGCGGTACACAAATCACACTCGGGGACCTGGCTCCTTCCTTTACCTCCATTGCTTGGCCTCATCCGCTTTACCACTTCCATTTCAACAGATTGAGGGAATGTGTCTCCGCGATGCAAAGGGCCTGCTTATACATAGCAGTGTGAAGGACCAGGTCCATTACACAAGCTCCACAGAGCAGTTGTTACTTGATTTCATCACGTTCCTGGTACAGGTCAGACTGACCACAAACTCAGCTTTATCTTCCTCAAAATCGCTGCTCACCCATGCCGAACCTACCTCTGGTAACATTAACTCCTCGATCAATTTCTCTTTATTGTTCTGGTGTAGGAAGCTTCTTATTTTCACATTATTTACAACTATGCTTTTTGACGATACAGTTTTCATTCCTATTTTGTGGTGACGCAACAGAACCTGGCTTCATTTAACTCGACAGATATTTAATTGAGTCGTAACTATGCAAAAGCAACGTCGTGAAGAAGACTGTTATTTACTTTCTTGTTGCTATGAAGAAATACCTGACCAGAACCATCATAATGAAGCAAAGGCTTGTTGGTCTTACAGTTTGCAGGTGCATTTCATGATGGTGGGGCTGATCACATTAACTCTACAGTTACACAGACTGGGCAGGAAGAGGGACAGAGATTATCATGTTTGAAGGCCAGTCTCCCATGATTCACTTCTTCCAACAGGGCACCACCTCCTAAAGATTTCACTACCTTCCAACCCCACCACCAAATGGAGACCAAGTATTCAACCCACAAGCCTAGGTGGAACATTTCATGTTCAAGCCCCAGCAAAGATGTTTGGAAAATGTAAAGTTTAGCAGAACAGAATTGTTCCAAAGGAGTTAATCTTTACTATGTAATATAAAGATTAGATAGAAGGCTTGGAAGGTCAAAGTAGGAGCTAATGATGTTTAAGAAAGGCTCGTTTTGTGTGTGTGTGTGTATGTGTGTGTGTGTGTTAGGTGTGTGGGGGGGTGGGGGTCATATGCTAGAGAATAACCTGTGTGTCACTCCTTAGACACTGTTCACACTTCATTTTTTTAAAACAGGGTCTCTCACCAGATTGGTGCTTGTCAAGTAGGACTAGACTGGCCAATTACTGAACTTCAGAATTTCACCAGTCTCTACTTCCCAAGCTCTGGAATTAAAGGCATGCACACTACACCTGACTATTAAAGTGTAAGTTGTGGGAATAGAACTCAGGTCCTTGTGCTTGCAAGAGAAGCACTTCATCTGCTGAGCCGTCTCCCCAGCTTGGTGCCAGATGTGCACTGCTCTTACGTTCTTCCTCACAAAAACAAAACAGCACAACACAGTGCAAAAACAAAACAAACAACAACTACTACTAATGGGAAGCACTTGGAGATTCTGCATCTCTTCTGATCTCTAAACCTGGGCTCTAACCAGCATGCAACACTGTCATGAAAACGGCAGCCAGAGAGAGAGAGAGAGGAGAGAGAGATTGTTCTCTTTGGAAAGTTCTGTGTCTAACCATTACCATTTCTCTCCTCAATGTCTGAAACTTAGATATGAAATGTTCACACTGGAGGAAGCTTCAGGATTATCTAACTCAAGGGAGACAACTAGGTATTTATCTCATAGCCAGTGGAAAGAAAAGTCTTACTTACCAGCCAACTAATCTTAGCTGTTTATGAGACAAGAAATCCAGAGCCCTAGCAGACAGTACTCTTATGTACTGTTGAAACTATTAAATTATTACTTCCACACAGCTGAGGAGGCAGGCATAGTGTGACTTTGTTTAAGTCCGGGTGGCAGGAAAGATGACGTGTGAAGAATGGTCCACATCCAAGAATGGCGGTGAACACCTGTAATCCCAATACTTGAGTGGCTGAGGTTGAATGATCACTAGTTTGTTGTCAGCTTGAGCTACATGGTAGCCGCATGTCCCAAAAATAAACTAAACTTTCATTTAAAATTGATTTAAGTTATGGGAAAGGCCTGGAAGAAAATAGACAGGATGGAGTTGCAATGTCTGAGATGGAGAATTCAGAATTAAAGAATATCCAAGATGGCTGTCTAAGGCCGATCAGAAGACAGGAGGAGACAAGACCCAGGTACTAGAGCAGACAAAAGGAGCATCTAAAGCTTTCAGAAACTTCAAATGTAGAGTCAGAACTCAGAGAAGTGAGCCTTCAAGCTGTCCCCATTAAGCAAGTCAGTCCAAAAGACGAAAGAGAAGCAGACATCAACTGGACACCATACTGGTTACTTTGGGACATGTGGATACATTTAATGTTCACAACTGCATTGGAAGGTGGGTGTTCAAACTCTTGATGTCTAGATAAGGCTTTGGAAAGGGATTATTAATATTATCATCTAATTTATGAGATAAGAATCCATAGAGTTGAAAATAAATTGTATTTCTAGTAAACTGATTCTCCAGTGGCTTAGTCATGATCAGAAAGGGTTATTTTGCCCTGTGCAATACATTTAGAAATGTCTGGAGCAGTTTGTTGCTGTTGCTGTTGCTGTGACACTGGTAATTAGAAGGTAGAAGCCAAGAATGCTCCTAAATATCTTCAGTACACAGAGTAACCGACACCCGGAGGCAACCCACATACCATCCACACTGATGGAGAAGCTGGATCTTCATTGATGATGTCAGGAGCGATGTGTTTCAAAGCAAACGTGTTTTAGTTAAAATTAGCTTTTTATTCCTCTTAAAATATTTAGTTTGCACCCATTCTTAAGTATCAAGTTCCACTGCTGTTTAAGCTCAAAATCCTGCCATGTCAGAATTTAACTGTAATGTGATACCAACAATAAATATGTCAGCCAGTAAGAGGACAATACACATGATACACAAAGATATTAAACTCGATGGGTTTCTCTAGTAGTAGAGAATCAGTGAAGGAGGGCCATGGTTGTCCCCCTAAAGCTTTGATTTTTGAAGATCAAGAGAGGGACTACTGGACTAGCCAAGATGGCTTAAATAGTGAAGAGATTGTTACAGAAGTCTGGGGACCGGTTTAAAAGCTGGAAGTGATCCACATCTATAATCTCAAGGTGAGGTATGGAGGTGGAATGTCTGTGCTCAGGGATAGGTGTATCCCAGGAATTCATTAGCCAGCCAGCACTGCCCACCTGACTAGCTTCAGGTTGAATGAGAAACCATGTCTCAAATGGAAACGTTTTTCCTAAATCATTTGAGGCAAACACCTGATAGCAGTATGTGGCCTCCACATGTGTGCACATCCATGCGCACATTCCTCTCTTATGTATGTTGAAGCACTCCTATGAACATGTGAAGTGAGAACCCATGAAAGTGTAATAATGAATCTACTAGGGGGTGCAAAAAAAAAAAAAGACAAACTCACAGATACAGAGCAAAGCAGGTGCCGCCGGTGATCCCAAGCTGCCTCTCTGCAGCTTGGACTCCAACCTCGCCAAGCAACAGCCAGAGCAAGCCAGCTTCACCTCCTGCTTATCAGGTGTCAGACAGACCCTGCCCTAGAGCTTGGTGCCCCAAGGCTGTTGGCAGAATGTGTTTCCACAACAAATGTGTACATACAAAAATGGAAGGCAGCTATGGTCACCACTAAACTACATACATAAGTGGAAAAACCAAAGGATTGACCCCTGGATGAGAGACTCTAGAGAACACGGGCTTTCTAGAATTCGGTGAAGAATGTCTGAAAATGAGGGGAATGACCACTGGGAATGTGTGTGTGGACATCCTGCTCTCAAGCCCCCACCAAGAGAATAGGCCACTAGACTTCTGCTAGCTACGTTCATCCTGGTGATAAACCAGCATCACCAAAGGCAATGGAAGGGTTTGCTTTCGCCTAACAGTTTCACAGAGGGAGGGGAGGCATCCAATAGGCAGCTGGAACAAGGCCAACCTCCCAAAGGTTCCATAGCATCCCCAAACAGAGCCATGGACTGTGAGTCAAGAGTTCAAACCACCCAAGCCTCGTTCAAACCACCACATGCTCCAAGAATCTCAGCTTGCCTCTCAAAGGCTGGTTTCATTTTCCTGAAAAGATGGCTTCCAAAACTCATTGTAGAACAAAATCAGTGAATGAGGACAAAAATCTTTGCACATTGCTTTATGAATGGAAGACGTCCATGTTCTCCTCCAAGGAAACTGATATACCTAGATCTTCTGTTTTAGATTTTCCTACTTAGTAGAAAACATAGCAAAATGAGTTTTCTGATAGGGATGAACAGAAATCATTTCTGACCAAATTTTTTGCAATAGTGTGGGTAAAAAATGCCATAGTGTAGACCTGATTTTTTTAAACCTGAAGTGGTATTTTTCTTTTCTTTTCTTTTCTTTTTTTGACTTTTTAAAATTTAAATTAGAAACTAACTTGTTTTACATGTCAATCCCACGTTCCTCTCCCTCCTCTCCTCCCCTATTCCCCATGAACTCCCTATCCCATCCCCTTTCTGCTCCCCAGGGAAGATGAGAACTTCCATGGGAGATCTTCAAAGTCTGCCATATCATTTGGAGCAGGGTCTAGGCCCTCCTTTGTGTGTCTAGGATGAGAGAATATCCCTCTATGTGGAATGGGCTCCCAAAGTCCATTTGTGTAGGAGGGATAAATACTGATCCACTACCAGAGGCCCCATAGATTAATCAGATCTCCAAACTGACATCATCATTCAGGGAGTCTAGAACAGTCCTACTCTCATTTCCCAGCTATTAGCCTGGGGCCCATGAGCTCCCCCTTGTTCAGGTCAGCTGTTTGTGGTCTTGACCCCTTTGCTCATCATTCCTCCCTCTCTGCAAATGGACTCCAGAGTTCAGTTCAGTGTTTAGCTGTGGGTGTCTGCTTCTGCTTCCATCAGCTTCTGGATGAAGGCTCTAGGATGGCATATAAGGTAGTCATCAATCTCATTATCAGGGAAGGGCTTTTAAGGTAGCCTCTCCACTATTACTTAGATTGTTAGTAGGGGTTGTCCTTGTAGATCTTTGAACATTTCCCAAGTGCCAGATTTCTCTTTAAACCTATAATGGCTCCCTCTATTTTGTTATCTCTTTTCTTGCTCTCCTCTCCTCTTCCCCTGACTCAATCTTCCTGCTCCCTCATGTCTTCCTCCCTCCACTTCTTCTCTCCTTCTCTTTCTCCTGACTTCCTCTCCCCTCCCCCCATATTCCCAATTAGCTCAGGAGATCTTGTCCCTTTCCTCTTCTCCGGGTAACCATATATGTTTCTCTTAGGGTCCTTCTTGTTTCCTAGCTTCTCTGGTGGTATTGATTGTAAACTGGTAATCCTTTGTTCTATGTCTAAAATTGATATACATACCATGTTTGTATTTTTTTTTGTTTTTACGAGACAGGGTCTCTCTGTATTGTTTTCGAGGCTGTCGGTCCGGCCTGGCCTCGAACTCACAGAAATCTGCCTGCTTCTGCCTCCCGAGTGCTGGGATTAAAGGCATGCGCCACCACCGCCCGGCAAATGTTTGTATTTTTGTGACTGGGTTATCTCACTCAGAATGATTTCTTCTATTTCCACCCATTTGCCTGCAAATTTCAAGATTCCATTGTTTATTTTCCACTGAGTACTCCATTTTGTAAATATCCCACATTTTCTTTATCCATTCTTCAGTTGAGGGGCTTCTAGGTTGCTTCCAGGTTATGGCTATTACAAATAATGCTGCTGTGAACATAGTGGAGCAGATGTCCTTGTTGTATGAATGTGCATCTTTTGGGTATTTGCCCAACAGTGGAATTTTCCTGAAGAACCAACATATTGATTTCCAAAGGGGCTCTACAAGTTTGCACTCCCACCAGCAGTGGAGGAATGTTCCCCTTTCTCCACATCCTCTCCAGCATAAACTGTCACTGATGTTTTTGATGTTAGACATTCTGGCCAGTGTAAGATGGTATCTCAAAGTTGTTTTGATTTGCATTTCCCTGATGGCTAAGGATGTTGAGCACTTTCTTAAATGTCTCTCAGCCATTTTACACTTCCCTATTGAGAATTCTCTATTTAGTTCTGTACCTCACTTTTTAATTTGGATTATTTGGTGTTTTGGTGACTAGCTTTTTGAGTTCTTTGTATATTTTGGAAATCAGCCCTCTGTCATATGTGGAGTTGGTGAATATCTTTTCCCATTCTGTGGGCTGCCTTTTTGTCTTGTTCACTGTGTTCTTTGCTTTATGGAAGCTTCTCAGTTTCAGGAGGTCCCATTTATTAATTGTCGATCTCAGTGTCTGTGCTACTGGTGTTATGTTCAGGAAGCTGTCTCCTGTACTAATTCATTTTAGGGTACCTCCTACTTTCTCTTCTAAGAGGTTCAGTGTGGCTGGATTTATGTTGAGGTCTTTGATTCATTTGGACTTAAGTCTTGTACATGGTGATAGACATGGATCTATCCTCATTCTTCTACATGCCAGCATCCAGTTATGCCAGCACCATTTGTTGAAGATGCTTTCTTTTTTCCACTCCATAACTTTAGCTTCTTTGTCAAAGATCAGATGTTGTGGGTTGATTCCATTGGTCTATCTGTCTATTTTTGTGCCAATACCAAGCTGTTTTCAGGACTATAACTCTATAATAGAACCTGAATTCAGGGATGGTGATGCCTCCAGAAGTTTCTTTATTGTACAGGGTTGTTTTGGTTATCCTGGGTCTTTTGTTTTTTCATATAAAGTTGAATATTGTTCTTTCAAGGTCTGTGAAAAATTGTGCTGGAGTTTTGATGGGAATGCAATGGTATTTTTCAAGTGCACTAATAATGCTGTAGCTAAATGGTGTTCTTATAAGATATTCTTAAGTTCACTTAGAGATCCTGTTTCCTGATATTGACTTACAGTACCTTTGTTGTGTATGGCCTTAGTGGCGATCTTTCCCCAAGGGACTCTGAGAGTTCAGAAAAAAGGAGAAACAATGAAGCAAGTGATGGTCAGGCATCTGGAAGTATCCATGGAGGTGAAATCCGCACCTTACACTGAAACAAGCAGTAAGTGGACACCCTTGGTATTTTGCTATTTATGCATGTGTATGTACAGGTGTGTATGGGTGTGCATGCATGTGTTTGTCTGTACGTGTGTCTCTGTATTCACTTACATGTGTGTCTGTGTCTATGTGTACATGATTGCATGTGTATGTGCACATGTGTGTGTTTGTATGTGTGTGTGTATGTGTACATACATGAGTGTGTGTGAGTGTAGGTGGTGTTGGCTTCCCACCTTGTTTGAGGCAAGGTCACTTATTTTCTATTTTCCACAAACAGGCTAGCTGACCTCCAGGCTTCTAGAGAGCATCCTGTCCCGGCTTCCCATCTCACAATAGGAGTGGCGGGATTACCGATGCATGCTACCCCACTCAGCTTTACATTTGTTCCGGGAGTCTAAGCTCAGGTCCTCACACTTGGACAAGTTCTTTACCCAGAAAGCAATGTCCCCGGGGCTACGGCCTCCGTTTTTTTGAAGTAGGAAGTGTTTGTAGCACACTTACCAGGCACCAGGCATACTTTTGAATACTTTGTTCATTTCAAAAGTCCTATGAAGTTGGCAATCCTTTGATACCTACTTCACCATTGTTGACAGCTGAAAGGACAAAAAAAATGCCAAGTGAGTACCATTTGGTGGGCCCTGCCAAGGTGTGCCACTAAGCAAACATGGCATATGCAACAGAGTTAGCGTGAGAGGTCTATTGGGGGAGGGCAAGGGAGAGAGTGAAAGGCCGTGTCAGAGTGGGGACATGAGAGGCAGGCAGACAGACAGACAGACAGACAGGCAGGCAGGCAGACAGACAGACCATGGAAGAGACAAGAGGAAGATGGGAGACGAGAGAGGTAAAGAAGACAGGAAGGGCCAGAGAGGAGCAAGAGGCAAGAGAGCGAGCTGTGCCTGGTGGGCACCTTTAAGGGGTAGCACAGCGCCGATGGCGGAAGGGCACCTGGCAGCAGGTGATGATGTAACAGCCTTGGCAGCAGAGGCTGCTGCTGTGTGGTGGAAACCAACAACAACGCTGGTACTGATAAGCTTTCCATAGGCCATCTAGCAATTACAGGGTGTGGCTGGACATGAACATCAAGTCTGCGCTTGCAAGTGTGCTGTGTCCTTCCACTACAGATGTGAGCTGACATGGGGCACAGAGAGGCGAAAGGATTTAACCATAGTTGATCTTCGGCCAACATGGAACAAAGGCGCATTTGCAATGTCAGCCATCAGTCAACGTAATCAAATCGTCATGTGCATTTTGCTTTGTTTTGTACATCAGATGAAGACTACGGTTTTTATTTGATAATTTGAAAACATCTGTGACTAGTGAGTAGGGGGAATAATGTCAGACATCTAGCTCTTACATGTAAGATAGAAACCCAACACGTCCTTGGTGATGCTTCTTGGTCTATGTCAACCCTAGTCCCTGGACTGTAAGCTCTCAGAGAAAAACAGAGTTGGCATAACAGACCATTCTTAGAAACACAGTTGGAATAGGTTTGAGGCTTTGCTAAAGCTAAGTACTCATACGTGAAATATTTGCTCCTGGCATCTGCACAACTAGAAGTCATCAAGTACAGCATCCCTGGCTATCCTGGGGGAAACCAGGCACCAAATGAGAGTTAGGTAATTATTTTTCCCTCTGGGATTCACATAGGCTACAAAGGAATTAACGAGGCTGAATTAAGTTGGGGCTTGAAAAAGGCAGGCTATTTTCTACCCAGAAGCAATCTGTTAAGATCATAGAAATCTGGACACATAACTATAAAGCACATCTCAGGGAACCATTTTATCTAGCAAGCAATGTGAAGTGATTGTCTGGACGAGCTCTGGCCAGCCCTATTACATCCAATCTTATTTTTGGCAGGTCTCTGTAGAACCATCTAGACAATATCATCTCTCAACAGTGTTACACTAGATGTGCCTGAGAAGTTAATCCTGTCTCCTTTTTTTCTGCTTCTTCTCCTCCCATCCTGTCCAGAAAAATCCCAAGATAAATTCTGCAGTGGGCCTGGTATTTCATTTCTGATTGACCCTGGTTCATTACAAATAAAGAAGACTGTGAATGCCTATGCAAAGCTGAGGTGGAAATCAAGAAAAGACAGTTGTTTTGTGCCTTTGACGTTGAATGCATTCTCTCTTTATTAATATGGGCGCTTAGACTTTGCACTCATCAATGAAAGATTTTTAACAATGTTTTTTCAAAGATTTATGCATTATGTACATAGTGTTCTGCCTGTATGCATGACTGCAGACCAGAAGAGGGCGCCAGGTCTCATTATAGATGGTTGTGAGCCACCATGTGGTTGCTGGGAATTGAGCTTAGGACCTCTGCAAGAGCAGCCATTGCTCTTAACCATTGAGTCATCTCTCTAACCTCCTGAGCCATCTCTCCAGCCCCAACAATATTTGTTGTTTGTGACAATTGAATAAAGGAATTAGTACAATCTCCTGCTTAGTAAAACATCTCTGGCCTATCATTGACTATTTACACCAATATACATGTCAATGGATGAAGAGTTAGGTGGATGACTAGACTGATGGATGGAGGGTAAACATTAAGTGGATGAGTGAATGGATGGAAGGATGGATGGATAGACAGATAGATGGCATTAGCATAATAGTATAGATATATGACACTAAGCTCAAAGCTAACAGAGACGACGGAGTGAGTATTTATAGAGAAAAGGCATTAGAATATCACTACAGTTAATTTTAGGATCTTTTATATATCTGTGTGTCAGACACTAAGCCAGTGTTTCAGAGGTCTTTTAACAAAACCACAAATTTTGTAGTATTATACCCACTTCATTGATGAGGAAATTTAGGGTCAAATTAATGAGTTATGACCAAATCTATAAATCAAATAAGTGACCAATGAGAATTTAATCTTGATATAGACCCACTGATCCAGGAACATGGTCTTCACTATCAAGTCATTTTACCAAACAATGCAATTATCTATTGTGCTGAAATACATGGATATCATCCACTATGTCATTTAAAGGCAACAGTCCTTACCTCCATATGCCAACTATGACATTCATGAGGCTCAGGGTATTACACAAGCCATAATCTCACTGCAACTTGTTTTTCCTGTTAGTGAAATGAATGAACTGAGCTGAAATCGTCCCAAGAAGATCCCACTGTACCGAGTATGCACCGAGTCTGGTGTCCTGAGCCATTTTTACTGCCTTTGGCCACCTGGCTTTCAGACTGCTGTGGCATTCAGATTCAGCAAATCACTAAAAAGGTGGTCTGTATCACTGTATCAGTCATTACCATGCAGCCAGCTTGATTAGCTGCTCCCATCCGGTTCTGGTTTGTTACACCATTTCTGGGATAAAAGAAATGTCTCCAGTCTTTAGAGTGAAAGACCTACCATTTTGAATATCCACTAAAGATGCTTGAGAAGGCAGCTGAGGTTGTCAAGACTGAATTTTACTTAGTTAGAAGCAAGAAACAAACAAAGCCTAGCCAAAAAAGTTATCTCTGTAATCTTTTCTCTGAAAAATGCTGCTACACAGTGGGGCTTCCTCAGGCAACCCATCATTGCACATTGGCTCACACATGGAATAGACCCCCTTCCAAGCAACCTGCTGAGCTCACCGGGATGCAGTGGCCAATAATGGTAACATATGGTTAGTTTTTCCTTGCTTCTATCCTTTCTACTTTCCTATTCTTTTCTTGGCTTTCAACACCCTGCATTCACAACTGCTAAATACTAAAACATCAGTGACAATTAACATCTTTGAATCTGACTAAGACACTTGAGATTCACACATTTGTGAATGTTGTGCTTATATGTGAATCCAGTATCCATCTGATTATGATAACCCCAATTTTCTCCCACTGTCCAGGAAATTCCTTGTTCGACTCATGGTAGAAGTCAACAAGAATGTAATTGCCTGGTTTGATGCCCTTCACAGCTACTATGGCACCTCTGAATTCCCCTAGTATCAGGAATATATATATATATATATATATTTGCTCAGACTTTCATAATTTTCCAGTAGACTAAGAGAACAAACCAAGATATCATTCTTTGAATAATTTGTCACTCACAAAAATTTCTGTACATATCCTCAAACTGATAGGGGATTAGTCACAATGTCTGAATCAGGCAATGTTGAACCAAGTAGCTTCTTGTACTAGAGGAAACATTCCAAAACAGTTGTTGAGCTGGGTGGTGGTGGTACACACCTTTAAGCCCACAAAAACCAAACCAAACAAACAAAAAACAGTTGTTGGAAATTTGGAAATTTCCAGACTGCAAAAAGTGCCTAAAAATAAACATTGACAAATAATTTTATCAGTAATTAGTGCACAGTGTGATTAAATAATACTCTTACAAAACTTTCATGGTAAAAGAAGGTCAACAGTGACAAATATTTAGTTGCTCTGTAGCTGTTGCCTGCAGATGAGAGAGTGATGGTCTCTGGAGTGCGCCACCAATATCAATGAAAAGGGACTGTGGATCTATGTCAGGGGTGAACACTTGACAAGTAAGGCCCTGGGTGTGATCTCCAGCACTGCAGGTGATGATGATGGTGGTAGTGGTGGTGAGAAGGAAAAGATGAAGAAGTGGGGGTGGAGAGAGGAGAAGGAGACAATGGGGAGGAAGGGATGAGCTAAATGAATAGGTTAGCAATGAGCTTCTTTCATACTTTAAGAGATGGCTAGTCGCCAGGTGTTGGTGGCACATGCCTTTAATCCCAGCACTCAGGAGGCAGAGGCAGGTGGATCTCTGTGAGTTCGATACCAGCCTTGTCTACCGAGCAAGTTCCAGGACAGGGTCCAAAACAATACAGAGAAAGCCTGTCTCGAAAAACCAAAGAGAGAGAGAGAGAGAGAGAGAGAGAGAGAGAGAGAGAGAGAGAGAGAGAGAGAGAGAGAGAGAGAGAGAGAGAGAGAGAGAGATGGCTATGGCTAGTCTAGATTCTATTGCGTTGCTTGGAAAGTCTCATTCTTATTTGTCTCCTAATTCTGTTTAGTTCTCTCCTCCAACAGAATTTCTACTCCCCATCTCCCCATCCCAAGAAATGACAAGTACCTTGTCATCTATAGTTAGATATTGCCTTATAACGAATATGGTGTCTTATCTATCATTTATTCCCACATTCATTCAACAAATATTTATTGTCCGCCATATACAAGGCTATGCATATATGCATATGCTTCACACACAAGCATACAATTACTTAGAACTCTTTCTTTTGAGTTTACATTCTATTGAAGAAAGACAGATAAAATCAAATAGCCATACTAGCAATGAAGAGAAATAAAGCAGAAAGAGTGGACCAGGTAAGTCAAACTCTTCTCTTTCCCAGAACTGTCCTGGACACTCCACAAGGGCTTCCAAAGAAAGTAGAAGTTCATACAGACTCCAACAGCTTGAGAGGAGGGGACACCAGAGTTATGATAGAAGTTTGTAACAGTTCAAATGAGGGCACAGGAGGTTGGGGCATGGTCTAAGATGTTAATAAGGTCTTTGAAGAGCAAACAATGTTGTAACTGAGACTTAAA